TAAGGTATGCAAATGGACTAACTTGTCCTCAATTAGCTACAGTTGATGTCGATGAGCTACATATTATGTTGTTTCACAAGTTTGTTAGTGACTTAGGATTTTTAGAAGTTGATTTGTTTGGATGCAAAGTTAACAAAAGGGGTGACTATTACATTTTAAAAACAGATGTTGATGTGTTAAAGCTTCTTAATACATTGAAAGGTGGTGACTTTGTTGATGTTTGTATTGTCCATAAAATTAGTGAGCCTATTCTTGTTGAGGACATAACTGAACTAGACCCCACTATACAAACAGATAGGCATGACAGTGGGTTAAATGTTAGGGCTGATGTGTCACCTCCCAACTATGATATAAATAGGACTGAAAATGACAAAGATAAGGGTAAGGGGGCACATATAAATGAAGAGATAGAAGAATCAGATGAATGTGAAGGTAATAACTTCTCATCCTATCACCATCAAACATCAGAATCTGATTTTGATGAGGACCTTGATTATTCTGAAGGGTATGACTCATTGTTTGATATAGATGAGAACATTGAAGAGTGTAGTGATTTGGAAGATGACTTAGCTGAAATTAGACAACCTAAACTCAACAAAAAGAAGGATGCCCAAGTAAATGTAGATGAGATACCATCTGGTCCAGTTGGTATAGATGCTGGTTTTGAAGATATGCATAAGAACAAAAGGGGAAAATATAAAGGGAAACTAGGAGGGGATGACCAGTATTTTGATAGCTCAGATCCAAGTAGTGAGTGTAGTGATGATGAAAGAGAACTTGTTGGCCCTGATGAAGTAAGGATGCACCAGCTAGGAATCCAAGTAAGAAGGTCTACTTTGACACAACTTGCAAAAAAATATTTTTTGAACTGTATATGATATTTGAGAATGTTGTACAGTTTAGGGAGGCATTGCAGACATATTCTATTCAAAAAGGTGTGAACCTTAAGTTGAAACCTAATGAGAAGGAAAGGGTTAGGACAAAGTGCACAAAGAAAGGTTGTCCATGGCATATCCTTGGTAGCATAGAAGGTAGCACCAGTAATTTTAGGGTGATTACATACTACCCTGTCCATAAATGCTACAAGAAGACAAGGAACAAAATGTGTAACCCACCATGGATTGCAAAAAAATTCAAAGACAGAATAATTAGTGAGCCTCAAATTAAGCTTCATCAGATTCAAGCCTTACTTAGGAAATCATATGGCTTGTATGTGAGTAAAACTTCATGTAGAAGACCAAAAATGATAGTTATGAAGGAGAATATGGGTGATTACAAGAAAGAATTTGCTAGGCTTCATGATTATGCAGAAGTGCTAAAGTCTACTAATCCTGGCACTACTGTAGTGATAAGGACATCTAAGGATTCAATTCCTGGCAAGGAGGTGTTTATGGGCATTTATGTCTGTCTTGAAGCATTAAAAACTGGATGGTTAGAAGGGTGCAGAAACATAATTGGCTTTGATGGTGCATTCCTAAAGGGAACAGGTAAAGGTGAACTGCTTTCCTGCATTTCCAAGGATGGAAATAATCAAATGTTCCCTGTGGCTTGGGCAGTAGTTGAAAAGGAATCAAAGGATACATGGTCTTGGTTTATTAGATGTCTCAAGCATGATCTAAACTTGACAGAAACTGAAGGAGAAAGGATGACAGTCATGTCTGATATGCAGAAGGTATGGTTTCTAACTGTCTTTAAAGTGTAACTGATTTCATTTATGTTTAAGTTATAACAATATAATGTTGTTGATTGTAGGGTCTTCATCTAGCTATAACTCAGTTATTGCCAAATGCTGAGATGAGATGGTGTGCTAGACATATCTGGGCTAATTGGAAGCAAACTTAGCCTGGTGAGGAAAGAAGGAAAAAATTCTGGCAGTGTGCAAGAGCTACATTTGAAGTTTACTTTAGCAAGAAGTTGGATGAAATGAACCAGCTGGGGGGAGATATTGTTCAAGACTTACTGAAATACAACAAGGAAACATGGTGTAGGGCATACTTCAAAGAACATAGTAAGTGTGATGTAGTGGAGAACAGCATGTGTGAGACATGAGACATTCAATAGTTGGATATTGGCAGCTAGGCACAAATCTATCATTACTATGTTAGAGGAAATTAGAATCAAGTGTATGGAGAGGATGAATAGCATGAGAGAGTTTCTGAAAAATGGGTAGGTGATATATCACCATGGCTATGGAAATACTTGGAGAGAATGCTCAAAGAGCAACCAAATGTGAAGTCAAATTTAATGGTGAAACAGGGTATGAGATCCAGGATGGGCCATATAAACATGTTGTTGACTTTAGGAGGTGTTCCTGTACTTGTAGATCATGGCAACTCAAGGGAATTCCATGTGCACATGCAATTACAACAATGCATTATAAGAACTATGAGGTTGAGCCATATGTTGACCATTGGTATAGAAAGGATACCTACTTTAAGGCATATAGAAGATTCATTCAACCTTTAACTAGTATGAATTTGTGGCCAAAAAGCACACTGCCAGCTATTGAGCCACCTGTTATAACTGCAATGCCAGGAAGGCCAAAGAAAAAGGGAGAAAAGCTGCTGATAAATCAAAGAAGAAGTTTGGGAAGGGTACAAGGATAGGGAGACAAATGAGATGTTCTTTGTGCAAGACTCTAGGACATAACACGAAAGTATGTCCATCAGCAGTAAGTATTAATGTTTGTTTTGTTACTAATATTGTAAGAATTCAATTACTAGTGATGGTTTTGTTATGTGTATGCAGAGAAACCAAGGGGGAAGGGCTGGAACTAGTTCAGTTGGAGGTGAAACTGCTGAAAATGCTTCATCAACAGCAGCAGGTGGAAGTGCAGCAGCAGCAGCAGGTGGAAGTGCAGCAGCAGCAGCAGCTGGAAGTGCATCAGCAGCAGCTGGAAGTGCATCAGTACCAGCAGCTGGATCATCAGCAGCAGCTGGATTAGCAGCAGCACCTTCAACTATGGAAAGTGGCACCTTCACTCCACCAATCACTGATCCAAGCACACAACAATCAACTAATGTTGCAGGAGGTTCAAAAAGGAAGACCAATGAGCCTAGAAGAGGTGGTGCAAATGCAGGGTCTAAGAGACCAAAGACAACAGGATATAGTGTGCTATTTGATTCAAGTGGCACTGTTATACAGAGGGTAAATATTTCCACTCAATTACACAATCAACATTTATGGTTTACTACATAATCCCTCACTCACAGCCTTTTATTTTTGTGCAGTCTGGAACTACTGACACAGTGGTACACAATCCTTCTACACTCATAAGTTCTGCTCCTACCAACATTGAACTTAGATTCAAACCACCTGGACTAAAGTGGAAGGGTCGATCTGCAATTACACAAAGGCAGCTGCAAGAACAGAGTTACAGAAGGGCAAACTCTGCTACAACCACTCAAGCTACACCAGTTACACAATCCACACCAATCAGCCAAGCCACAACAGACATTAATTGAAGTGCCCAACTGATATTTACATATTTTGAAGACTTAATCATGTATGTTTTTGTTGAATGTGGTAGACAATATTTTGTAAAGCTACTTCATTATGTATGTTTTTGTTGACTGCCTATCGTTGGCAATATTTTGTAAACCAACTCCCTTATTTTGGATGTTTTATTAACTGCCTATAACACAGGCCATTATATTAGTACTTGTTGCTGTAATGGAGCTTTTGTCAATATATTCCATGAACAAAATTTTACATCAACACAAAATATGTAGCCTAAACCCAGGAAATAAGAAAGTACACTATCAATCCTAAACAAATAACATAATAGATAACATTAGAAAAATTACAACCGCAATTATAATAGCAGCAACTCTGAACTTCGACCTTCCTTGTCTTCTTTGACAATGGCATCGATCACTCTTCTTAATAAAAGTCGCAAGAAGAGTCTTGTAGTGTTCTTCCTCAGTCGCAGGATCAACCCATCTGAAAAAGCCACAACCTTCACCAATCTCATATCTTAGGCAGCCCATGAACCTTCTTCCAGGATTGGTGGTTGTTCGTGACATTTTAAGATCTGCAGCAAGTCCACAATAACACAAAGGTTCATTCCCCATTGTTGAAGGAGAAGAGGCAACAGTAGCTTATTTGCTGCAGGAGAAGCAGAAAAAATCCGACTTTCAAAAAAAAAGGAGATGGCAAAAATTGATGGGCAACGAAGAATCACAGGAAAATAAAATTCTATTTTTCACAGTTGAAGCTAACAAAGAAAGAAGAAGGCATCAGATTTGGATAGAAATTAGCTTCTATAATGTTCAACAATGGAGAATAAGGTAGAAAGAAGAAGATGGCTGTTAAATAGGCTAAATTATTACCGTTAGGGCTTTTTAAACTGTCTTCACGCCCCTTACAGGCGTGTGAATCACGCACTGAAGCCACATATGACACATAGGATAAGCCACGTTGGATAAGCGTTTATTATTCACGTTTTGAAGGAGTATAAATGTTCATTTGGCAAATATCTAAATTTGGGGACTGGCATGACAAAGTGGTTCAAGTACAGGTGCCATTTAGGCTATTCTGCCTTAAAATAATTATGTTCCTTTGCTTCCAACACTGCGTAATTCACCCATCTGCTAGCCCATAGATGTCCCGCCTCCTTGTCTTCTTCCTTTTGCTTTCTTACTTCTCACTTTGGCTCCTAAAGCAATTGAATATGAGAATCAGTTAGTTTCAAGAGGGAGGAGTCTTCAACCTTCACACTTACTGTGAGTTCGAAACAATTTTAAGTTTCCTCTTAGTGATTATCTCAAACTATTCCATATCAACTATGGAGAAAGATCATCCTAACGAGTCAATAACCTTGGTAAAAGGGCAAGCGAAAGAAAACGAGACCTTTCAAAGAATTGAAAATAAAGAATTTGTGGAATGCCCAGATCTTCAATAGACGAGAAGGGTATAGTCATTTCATCCAAGTTTCAGGTGAGTGACAGTTTACAAATCTTCTTCTTTCAATTTATAAGCACTCATTCTTGGATGGTATATAACAAATTATGGTGCACGCCCAGAGGGGGGTCGAATGAATTGAAAAATCAGAATCCAGAACTTATACTGGACGCAGTTCATGCTAATCATCTTTATGGTTCTACAGCCATATACAATCTTATCTAATATCTTTCTTTTTCCCATCTTGTATAACCTTATACAACCTAAATTTGAATACAAAGAAACATTTTCTTACGATGTAACTAGTATTCTCTCAGTTTCAAACGGAGAGATGCACTCATGAACCAAGACAGTTAACCCACATGTTTGTTCTGAACTCTCTCCGAGCTACAACTGTGATTTCATGATTTGACACTAATAACCACTTATGAACTTCTAAGAGTCCTCCTGTTTCCATCTTTTGAAGTTGATTGTCTCGACGGGGTAAGCTTCCTAAATGAGGCATGCAGAATCATCACTGCAAATGCATCAATTAGCCATAAGCTCTTGAAATTAAGACTAAACCAAAAGATAAAACGATAAAGAGTAAGAATAACAAATTGGGCATGAAAGCTAACCCACCTGCATAACTGACAGCAATGGCTGAGATGAGAGCCATTTGAACGTTGGTACAGAATAGAATAACTGCAGTAGCTGTTGTAGAAAAGCAGACTCAGTTCTCAAATTTATATAGTAGCAGAAAAGTTCTGCTTGGTAGAATAAATTAGTGCTTAAAATTGTCTATCGAAACAAAATCCAGCCAACATACACTTGAAAGACTGAGAAGCGTTTCAAAAACGAGAAGCGCAAAAACAGTAACAGGGACCTTCGGCTTAAAAAAAAAGGAACCTAAACGCATGATTCTTCAAAATAAAGTAGACAATTACCAAACACAAAATGATCAAACATATATAACTTATTGCAATTAAAGTTACTAATTCCGTACTAATGTGACAAAATTCAAATTAAACATCGTAATATGTAATTTCAACAAGACCCCAAAAACATAACTACAATCGCAAATCATTATTCTTTTTTGGGGACATCAAATAATTATTCAATTTCACTTAAATCAACCATAAAAAAATTCTGCAGTATTTAGCTTCATAATTAGTCTTTTAAGCAACTCTGCTAAGTGAGTGGAAGAGAAGTAAAAGAGAAGCCCAGAGTCAAGAAGAAGTAGAATAAGAGAACTCGCACAATAGAAGAGAAGAGGGTCATTGATTGAAGAAGAAACACAAGCAAAAAACAAATTAAGAAAACAACAGAATATGTAAAATAAGTATTATAGACTCAAGAAGTAGAAGAAGACTGCGACTACAGAGAGAATGCTGAAATATACACGTGAGTAGTCCTTGTGCTGATAGCACGTACTTGGTGAAATAGTTGAGGTGCGCGCAAGATTGTCCGGACACCTCCGTTATAAAAATCATGTTTTTATATATATAAAGAGTAGTCCTCTTACCCAAGTAGCAAATGAACTCTATTTTTTCCTTTTTATCATCCTTTGAAGTAAAATCAACCTTCTGCCAAGTCAACCTTCAGCTATGAAGCGATAACACCTTTTTTTGGTGGATAGGTAAATAAAGATTTGGCACACATCTCATAATTTATCTTTTGTTAAAATATCATGTTAAGGGGATGGAAGAATTGAGCCAATTAACCTTTTCTATACCAAAAGCATCCTTCACACTGTTTTGTAAGAGATACCAACATCTCACCAACTTTTCAAGTACAACAAAAGATGATATAGCTTCCCATTTCATTTTTCCCTCTACTTTTAGTTTCTTACCAAAAACAGCGAGAAAACCTTTCCCAACCTTTTTTCTTTTTAACTTTTAGGCGCATTGACACTAGTATATCTGAAGCTAAACAATTTAAAGCTATCTTCGCCATATTTTGCTCATGCACAATATTTGAGTAAAAGGTAAAAGGTGTGGGTACAACAAAAGATTATATGGAGATGTTATAAGTCTTCCTTTTTTATAAAGGAAATCTCCTGTGTAATATATGTGCACCTCGACTATTAAAAATAAGCCTACCCTTTTTACTTTGCCTCTTTGTTACCTTCCAACCCCCCCCCCCCCCATCCCTAAAAAAAAAAAAAACAAAGGAAACTACGCCAAAATCCTTTTCCCACATACTTCAAGGCCCACCTGAACTAGTATATTTGTGGCCCAAAGCATTTAAAGCGGTTTCCACTATATTTTTCTTATTTACAAAATTTTGACTAACAAAAGCCTTCCGTCCTTTTTCTTTTTTGAAATGGAGAAGCCTTCCATTTTTTACTTTCCCCTCTTTTTCTTTAGATTTCTTAACCCAAACCAAAAAGGAAAAGAACTACTCAAATATCATTTTTCCACTTATTTAAAAGAAACTTTCAGGCCCATCGACACACGACACTACTATATCTGCAGTCTAAAGCATTTAAAGACAGTATTTTTCTTGTTTACAACATTTGAGTAAAAGACACAAAGTTCCTTCCCCATCATCCCTACAACATCTTAATCAACAAAATTTGGAGGGGGAGGGGGAACTAGTTCAATCATCATGAGAACTTGAGGAACTTTTGAATGAAAAAACTGAGAGACTAACATTCTTCAATAATGAAAAAGAAATCAATTTTATAATCTACGCATTCACAGTACAAGTACCTAATTTATGAACTTTTCATGCATTTTTTAATGAATGTTAATTGTTTATAGAGACATTTACACGACATTTTACTTGAATTAACATTCTCGCAAAAATTTCCAGTTAAAGGATACTTTGGAGCAAGATAGAACAGGTTTGGAGAAGACCAACCATATATCCCTAATCCCCTTGATGGACTCGTTAGTTAATTGCTCACATCTGGATCTATTTCGTAGTACCATCTCATTACATACTTTTAGCTTAGTGGTTGGATTATTTTTCCTTGATCCTGACTTCTAGTGATCTTGGTGAAAGGTCTTAAGAGAATCCATTACATTGCAAATGCTATGCCTCTGGAACACCATTGTATCTCAACCAAAATTTGGCATAAGAGCCTCCAGTCTAGAGGAGTACGGTTTGCCATTTGGTAGAAGGAAAACAGATATGGACAATATTCAAAAGGTTGAAGAGAAGCTTAAAGATCAGGATCAGTTAACACATAGGATAAATCACAAGCCATATGATAAAACAGTCAAAGCTACGATCATATTATTCATCACCAATATACACAGATAGAATGCTGGGACCTGAATCATTTAAGAGAGTGGCACCCCATTTTTTCCTCTTTTTTT